CCGGAAGCTACTGAACAAAATATTTCACAGCTCATTAAATCTTGGCTGAGACATGCAAACGAACGTAGTAATAAGAAAAAGTATGTTGCTTTTTTGCTTTTATAAATTTTATATTATAAATTAAAATAATATGTTTATGAGTAATAAAGTTTTAAAAAAGTTAATATAATTTTAATATTATTTTAAGCTTAAATAAGTCAAAGAAATCTTTGATGCAAGAAGATGAAAACCAATCTAATATGGAACAGCATGCAGATAGACGTCTACAAAAAGAAAAGTATGTAATATATTAATATAAATACAATTTTTGTGAAATTTTACTAATTTTATTAATCTAATAAAAAATTTTGTAGCATGGATAAGAGAGCAGAATCTGTTGCAAGGGTCTGTGTGCAAGAAGACAACCAAGAAGCAGATGATGATGATAATGGTGATGAAACGACTTTAGACGACTTAATTGGCCCTAATCTCTTTTAAATAATATGTATCCCAGATAGCACAACGGTGAATATAAGTTCATAATAAATTCATTTTAAAGAATACTTACAGAATTAGAAAAATGAATATTTAAAGAATTCTTGAAGAATTATCCATAATCAGTTCGTCTTTACATATTCTTTATACATTCATTTTAATGAATACTTTGCGACAGTACTATGAATACTTTGAGAATTCATAAGGAATTACTTAATTGTAATTTTTCCATGCATGCGCGAGTATCTGGACTGTGCGTGTTCGGTTCGGACATATCTCGTAATCTCGTGCAGTGTGTCACGTACGTAGTGTGCGTACTTTGCAATAAAAAGGTCCCAGCAAACGAGAAATGATTGGATTGGATAAATTTGTATGAATAAAGTTTTTGAATACGCGAAAAAGTATTGAATTTAATAGATACTGAACACATTGAATCCGTTTTCTATACGTCTCGTTACATACAATCCTGTAAATTCTAGTGGATTTATTTAGATTCAAAAATGAAAATATGAATCGATTCCCTATTACAAAATTGTGAATTCAAGTGAATAGAGGTGGATCTAGTTCAGCAGATATGAATCCTTAAAGACGGATTCAAAAGATTTGACTTTTATTGATATATATATAGCTAGGTTAAGTTCGTCTTGCTCGCTTTCGTGCTGAAAGCATCCATTCTATCTTTCTTCGATGTATTAATGAGCAAGAAAGATAGACTGATACTTTCAGCATGAAAGCGAGCAAGACGAATAGGCTAATAATCTTTTTCTGGAAAAAATATTACCAATACTAATAACTAACACTGAAAATCACAAAAAACATAACTAAAATTAACATTATAATTTTAAATAAAATAGTGCAAGGTAAAAATTGTTAATATCATATTTATTTATTTTATATGAATATTCGTAAAGTATTTCAATAAATATTACCAATAGATTAAACACAGTTTGGTCTTTTTATTAATTTAATTTGGGCTATTGTTTTGAAACTCCACGAACTCCACAATCTCCTCCATATATTCGTCACAATTTTTGTTGTCATTCTCGCCGTCATTTTCGCCGTCATTCTTTCCGTCATTCTCGCCATCATTCTCGCTTTCATTCTGGCTGTCATTCTCATCGCTATTATTTTTGCCGTTATTCTCGTAGTTATTCTTGCTGTCATTATTGCCATTATTATTGTAGTCATTCTCGTCGTCATCTGTATCAACATTCTCGACACTTTCTAATGCACAATTGCCGATATCCGATAATAACAATACATTATTATTATCTGTTTCATTTATTAATTCAGTCTCGATAGATGATTGCGAATCTGAAACTATACATGCATTTTAATTTACATTTATCTAATTTATATCCAAGAACAAGAAGTTATGACATCAAAATGACTCTAAAATGATTTTAAAAGTCACTTTTTTATAAATCAGGATTCATTTTAATGTCATTTTGACTTCGTCAGGACTTGTTGTTCTGCTTGAGTATTTGCTTTAATGCTATTCATTATTTGTTAATTCTGAAAAGTATATATTAAATTAATCAATAGCGGCTTATTGTTTATACAAAGCGCAAAACCTTCAAATAGCATAATGTAAATATGTGACAAATTTGCAACTGTAATGTTTACCTGTAGTGAAATCGTCATGTTGAAAATCTGCATTATTTTCTATTATAGCGTTCATCTCTTGCAATTGTTTGTTTAATTCATCCACGTTCGATTGGCTTAATTTTTTCTTTGTTTGCAATTGCCTCGATTCTAAAAATATTAATTTATAAATATTATTAATATTATTAATATTATTAATTTAATAATATACTTATGTTTCAATATTACATTATCACTATCGCAAATACATATAAGCACATATATTTACCTTTCATACTTGCCAGTTTCCTTCTCATATATTCTTTTGCTTTATCTACCTCTTCATCTGCCTCAATTTCACTCATTCTCTTTTCGGTCAGTAACCAATGGCGAAATATTGCTGTGAATTATATATATACAAGTATATTACATAATTAATTTGAAATTTTCGTAGTTATGTACAGCAACGATTAATATTACAAAACCAAAGTAATTATTATTAACCTTTTATCGCCAACACTTTTATTGGATCCAATTTCTTGTACGCTTTTCGAATGTCCGCTTTCGTCCTGTTGCTTGGTTTTCCTGACAAGGTACTGTTCAGTAATGTCTTATAAGGAAACAGAACTAGCATCATTTCGGCTACAAACATGCTGGGTGTCGTAGCAGTACCAATTACTAAGGCATAACTTTCTGTCGATATCCATACGTTATGCTCCAGATATATCTAAAAAAACAAACAACTAGTAAATATAATTATTATAAGATATAAGTAAATTCAGAAATTCAGTACATATTTCTAAATTATATACATATTTTATTCCTTTGTAATTATGCAGGATGTTCCAGTATTTGCTGTAAGTACTGAAAACGTTTATCATATTTTAATAGAATGCATCTGACAAAGATAACAAAATGCTTTTAGGTACTCGTTGCAAATACTAGAACACATTCACAGTACATCAATAACGAGATTATAAAAATATATATGCATATTTCGTTAAGCAATTTACCTTCTCAGTATCTGCTTCAATATATCCAACCGCTATTTTAATCGAATTTAAGACGTCTGTAGTTTCAGCATTTTTTAACTCTTGTAATGTTGCTGCACCAGAGGAATGAGAACATGCTTCTGTTATAACTTTATGTTAACCATGTGTTACATTTCATTAAATATAACCCAGACAACATAATGTCTTAAATCAAGACATAAGACGTATTAAAGACGTCTTATACGAGTATATGTCTTGATTTAAAACATTATGTTTTGTCTGGGAAGCTAGTTAAACACGAACCTTTTATTTGGCCGAAATGTTGGATTGCAGATTTTTGCAATTCTTTGTTGAGATTTCGTATCTCATTTAATTCATTTGTGAGTTTTTCAATTTTCTCTTCTTTCTGTAAAATTTCTCTTGACAATGCCGTTTTCTCCTCTGTCCATATTATTTGTTTTACGTTTAAGTCATCTTTCACGGATTGCAATTCCTTCTTGAAGAAGTCTACTTGATTTTTGTACGCTTCTGCTGCTGCTTTATGCGATTTGACACTACATTCACTTATCTAAAAAAGTACAAAAAAATACATATATTAATACATAGATATAAAATAAATAAATGTATCAATGCATACTCATTGTTACGATATTTAAAAAACTCTAAAATTGAACTCTAAGATTGAACAAATTATAACAAAAGGCATGAGATGCCCAAATTATATTTACATATAATATATCTGTAGCTTATCAGCATAAGCGGTGAAGCTCATACTTGAATTTACGCTTGAAAATATCTTATCAACATTTTGCTACATAATTGCAAAATAATAATATTTTACCTCCGTAAGCTTTTGTTTCTTGAGCAAAACACATTTGTTTGATTGTACAGGAGTTATGGCATCTCGCTTTTTCCTTGAATCTGTCACCTGTAAATCATATTTTATATATATTATGATATTGTACAAAATATATTGTATGATAATCATATTAGTCTATAAATGCTGAGGTAAATTGAAACTTTTCAAATCAATATGAAGGCTAGCTTTACTTGTCGATGGAGAATAAGATTAAAAGGAACTCTTTTAGTTCGTTATATTATATATTTTACACAAAAATGTAAAACAAACGTACTAATGATGTAATAGGTGTTGATGTCACTTCATTGTTCAGTTGCGATGTTGTCATCATCATCTCTCGCTCAATTTGCTCATCCCGCAAAATTTGCAAACGGTTTTGCAAATTAGTGTCAACATTGGTATCAAACTTATCATTCTACAAATATTATTTAAAACATTATTTAAGTTAATTGATAGAAATGTGCACATTTGCAGAGACGTAAAATAGAATTTATTACCTTCTTTTTTGCTGGTGTTTCTTCAGCTGATGAATTAAAACTGTCTGATGGTGATGCAAGATGTTTAATGGGCTTCACTACCGGTCTTTTGGATTGAATTATTTTAGATAGTTCTTCCAATGACTCTGCAAAGGATATATGTAAATAAAAATTTATTTCGATTTTTATTTGCTGAGACTCATAAATATTGTACAATTTTTTATTGGAATTATTACCATTCACAAGAATCACTTGTGCATGCGAATATTTTCCTGTCACTGGATGTTTCACTTTATAAAGTTTATTTTTATCAATGTTTTTCACGTCTGACCTTTTCACTTTAATGTCTTCAATGGCAACTACCTTCATACACGAGGAAGCGCCGAAACCCGCGAATTTCACATAAGCAAACATTTGGAACTTATTTACAACAATTATAATTATAACAATTAATATAATATCAAACGGTATTTTGGAATGTTTAACGAATACACGGTGATACATGGTATAAAAACGCTCGGACTTTACGAAGAAAAGTATAGATTCAAATCGCGCGTCATTTGTCCACACACAATGCGCAGCGAAAGCGCGACGTCACATTCGAGTAGATTCGGCAACAATCGGTAGTTATTCGGACACCGAACTGCGAATGCGAACTTTGGCTGTGTTCCGATATTCACAGCCAAAGTCTGGTTGTAGTGTGGTGAACGCATGTGTCTCATATCTAAAACGACTTCAGCCTACATAATTGTCCTACATAATTGTAATAGGATATTTATTAAAAGTGAAAGAGAATAGAAGAAAAAAGGTAATCGAGGATTAGGTATGTACGTGCGATTTTCTGAATTGATAAATGCAAAGTAGTGTAAGTGCACAGTATATGTTTTTGTGCTATTATGCTTTATAAATTATCTGTTTACACGTTACGCACACATTAGCTGTTTGTTTTGCAGAAAAGGTCTTGTACTTTCTGCATTTTTTTTCGAAATACATGAATATAAAATAAACGTGCAAAACCTAACCTAAAATTTATTGCAAAAACTTTATTTTAAATTTATTGCATGAACTTTCTTTTAAAAAGAACAGAGATTGTATTGCTGCAAAAAAACTGAAACCGCGTTCCAGTATTTACAAGTTAAAAGCATCGTTTATCTTTTGTAACAAGACATTGATTTTTGCATGCAATATAAAGAACATCTTTCGTTAAACAAATTTGTTTTTCACACATGTGTTGTTCATTGCAAGTATTTATTTATAATATACAAACTGCATTTTCAATATATTCATCACTTGCAGAGTGAAAATGAATCAATCGCACAGAAAACGAAAGAAGCTTCATCTGGATCCAACGTACGACAGAAGATTGTTATCAATATCAACTCGTCGTAAATGGAATAAAATACTTAACACAGTTTTACCAAGGATACTACTTAATGCAAACAAAGAAGGTAATACTTTTCACTCTATACAGATTTCTTATGCTTATATGCAGAAAAACATTTGCAAATATTGAATCACTTTACCTTTTTTTCTAAACTTGGCATAACGCCTCCATTTTGATTAAGCTATTCAAGCCAAATAATTTTTATATATATTATTATATATATATTATATATATTACATATTATTATACCATTGCTAATGTAATTTAAACTTATCAATAATTTTTTTCTTGTAATTTTTTCGTCTTTTATTGATGGCTTAATGGCACTCATCTTAAAAACATGGGCTCGGTTCCACAAACTATTGTTACAAAAAGCTGTATATTACATATTTATTGTTCTTCTAACTATAAAAAATAAAAAAAGAATAAGTTCAGAAAATATTTCAATACTGCAATACAATGGATCTATGTAGGTCATATGAATGATTATGCTGAAAATGAACCTGAGAATGTGCAACCAGAAGACGAAGATAGCTGCAACAATAATAACGACGATTCAGAAGAAATACAATCGGAAGATGAAGATAGTAACAATGATGGCGAGGATTCGGAAGAAATAAATCCGAGGACAATCACTGATGATTTTACAGAAAGAAGCAATTCAGAACGTGATAAAAGTAAAATAATGTTTAAAGAATCTGATTTAACAGTCAATAGTGTTATGCGTATGGTTGCAGGGTATTCATTGCGGTTTGGACTGTCGAATAACGCGAGAAAAAGTTTAATTAATGTCCTTAAATTTTGTGCAGGGCCTAATTTTACACAACTTAATGTTTCGAATTATTATTTTGACAAAACATTTGACCCACCTAATGACAAAATACTGTTTCATTACTATTGTACAGATTGCTATTGTGAAATATACCGTACTAGAAAAGAAGATTTTGTTAATATAACTAAATTATGCGAACTTTGTGATAAAGAGTATAACTTAAATTTGTCGTGCGAGAACTTTTTTTTATCTATTGATTTACGTTATCAAATAGAGTTACTTTTAAAGGCTAAAAGTATTCGCACAGCATATATGCAGAGTATTAATTCAAGAAAAGGTACACAGCAATATAATTATATTAATGACATACATGACGGTGAATTACATAAAAAAGTAATTGCTAATTCAGCACACATTGTAAGTTATAATATCAGCACAGATGGAGCACCTTTAGGACATAAAACTAAACGTAGTATTTGGCCTTTGTCAGTAATTTTGAACGATTTGCCACCCAAGATTAGATTTGAAAATGTTTTATTAGCAGGTATTATGGTTGTAAAGCAAGAACCGACTCCTAAACTGATGAATTTATATCTTACAGTGTTTGTAGAACAAGCAGATGCTTTAAGAGAAAAAGGTATTTCTATGACTCTTGATAGTGGTCAAACCACATTCACATCAACAACGTTATGCTTTTCAACAGATTCTGTTGCTCGAGCGTTGACACAATATCGAGTAAAATATAATGGTTATTTTGGTTGTAGTTATTGTTATCAAAAAGGAACATATATATCGACTATGCGATATCCTTTTGTAAATGAAAATCCGGAATTAAGAACTCATGAATCCCATATGCGAGATATACAACAGTTTCATTCAAGCCAATCTTTAATACAATCTCGAGGAGTAAAAGGCAATTCAGTATTGAACTCAATTTCAAATTTTGATATGGTATGGGGCTTTCCTTTCGACTACATGCATACAATTCTGTTAGGGGTTGTTAAGCATATTTGGGAATTATGGGTAAAAACATCGTTGATACATTTAACTGCTGCTAAAATTAAGAATATTGATGAAAGCTTACTTAAAATCAAACCACCTCATGACGTGAAAAAATTACCACATGTAATATCCGATCAAAGTAATTACAAAGCAAAAGATTGGAAATCATGGCTATTATATTATAGCATTCCAATATGTTTAGACTATATCCCCAAAAAGTATTTACACCATTATGCTTTACTTGTAAAGTGTACTTATATTTTGTTAAAATCAAATATTACAAATGCTGAACTTAATAAGTGCGAACAAGATTTAATGATCTTTGTTGCTTTGTTTGAGGTCCTATATGGAAAAGAATCAATGCGGTTTAATGTGCATTTGTTGCTCCATGCTGTTCAATCTGTTCGGAAGTGTGGACCTTTATGGGCTACATCAACCTACCCTTTTGAATGTAATATTTATTTGTTAAAGCAGCTAGTTAATGGACCAAAGGGCGTTGAGCAGCAAATAGCTAAAAAGTCATTACAGATTTTGTCATATAAAGTAGGAATGTCAAGTAGTTCATCGCCGAATCATGTAAAAGCGTTTTGTGAGCAATTGTTCATGAAAAATCAGTCGACTGTAAATGTTGAAGTAAATGATGGAGTAGTATTTTATGATTCACAACATGTATATATCTCAGATAGCGCTCCAGTTACAACAAAACGGATATATAACAAATGTATATATAATAATCAGGTGTACCATAGTAAAAATTATAAACGATCAAAAAAATGGAACGACACTATTGTACAGTTAAAATGCGGAAAAATTGTTAGAATCGATGATATAATTAATGTACCTGAAACAGGATGCCACTTCTTAGTTACCACATTCGTTGCCGAAAAAGTAATTTTACATGCAAATGAATGCACTGTCGATGAAACAACGTCTCCAGATGAGACATTAGCAAGAATTGGTGACATTGATATGCCACATATGTGGAAATTTGTAGAAGAGACGGGCCAACGATTTGTAATTTCAATTCATGATGTTTGTTCGAAAATGGTTGTCATGGACGTAGGAACTGAGCAATTTATTTGCGCTATGCCAAATATATTCGAGATTGACTAAATAAAAGTTCGCAATTTCCTATATTTTGTGTTTCTTTTTATATATATAATATAAATCGATAGTTTAGCACAAGGATTATTATAATAAATTATGTGTATAATGTATACTAAATAATAATGAACTATTATATTATGTACACTTTTATTCCATATGTAATGGATTATTATTATAATTATATGATTTTAATTACATGATGTCTTATAAAATGTTAATAAAATACACTATCTAGTAATAACATAACGTTATATATTTTGTAATTTTTATGTCACTGTTCTATATCACCTTGAAATATTTTTAAATCGAAAATTCTATATGTGTATTTGAATATTAATTTTTCAAATCAAAAGTTGGCTTTTTTGTCGAATTTACACGAATTGACAGTATTTGACGTCCAACTATTATTTCAGTGAATTTAAATGTTCTCGTTTCAATATCATACAATAAATTCAAACGAATTGGTCACGTTCATTGCGTTGTGCATTAAGTGTGATACCAAAAGCAAATGGCCAATTCACAATTATAGATTCAAACAAATTGATCGTACGTTTATTGCGTTGTACATTGAATGTGATACCAAAAGCAAATGGCTAATTTACAATTATAGATTCAAACAGATTGATAGCAAGTTTCTTTCGATGTTCATTGAATAATATACAAAAAGTAAATGACCAATCCGTACTTATGGATTCAAACGGATTGGTCGCACGTTTAATTTCTATGCACATTGGGTGAAATACCGAAAGCAAATAGCCAATCCGTAATTACTGATTCAAACGAATTACGGATAGAAAATGGATTCAACAAATCCAAAAATTTGATTCGATATCGGTTCAATGAATTATTATCAATATTTTTAAATTTTTTTTCGTTTCCTGGGGTGGCAATATATTTATTTATATATTGTATCAGACTACATCAGGCATAGTGCTACATTATAATTATATTAATTATTGGGTGTTATTGAATGGTAAGTAGTTGAACTAAATATATTTTTACTACATAACCTTGAAATAAACGCATGATTTATTTTTATTGTTTATCATTCAGTAAACAAACTATTTTGTTAGTTTGCCAACAAATTCAATAAAAATCTTTATATATTGATAAATTTGGATAAATATTTGTCTGCATATGTAGCTCATGTTCTTTCAACAGGTGATTTCTGACTATGGATACAAATTTCTATTATATGTGCACATATTACTTTTTTATATTACTTTTATATAGAATATCTTATTCCTTTAGTCTTTCTAATGTATAATATCATGTTATATAATTTTATTCATATATTTTATTATTACAGATTTATAAAAGTCACTCACGCATCACAAGAAAAGTTTGAAAACTTAAGAAATAATAACAACTACTATACAAAATAAAAGTAAGTTGTATTTAATTTTGCATGTTAAGTAATAATACATGAAAATGAAACGTCAAGTAAAACCATTTAACGAATTATCAAGATGGCAACGAAACAGACGTTTATTATTACGTCAAAATATAGAATTAGATATTTTTGAAAATTATAATCTTGAAGAGAAAAGTAATATAAATAAAGCTATCCCAACTAAAGAAGAAACCATTGAGGAACATCAAATAGAAAATCTTTTTATTCCATCGCAATGTACAGACTTTAATGAAACTTTACAGTATTCCAGCAGCGATTCAAATAGTTCTAATATTGAAGAAGTTGATTTAACCGAAAATAGAGTGGATAATAATTATGAAACAATTAACTTATCTATAGATCGTAATGAAACATTTGCATCAGAACTACAATTTTGGGCTATTTCAAATAATATTTCTAATAATGCTCTGTCAAATTTATTAACAATATATAAAAAATATCATCCTAATGAAAATATTTCAAGTGATGCTCGAGTTTTCCTACATACATCGAGAGAATGTGTCAGTGTAACACAATGTAAACCATGCGGTAATGGAGAATTTCTATATTTTGGTCTTCTAAAAGTTTTACTTAATTATTGCAGACAAAACAAACTTCATTTAATCAATAATTTTATAATAATTGATATAAACATTGATGGATTGCCAATTTCTAAAAGTAGTAACAAGCAATTATGGCCAATTCAAGGTAAAATCATTAATGTAGACCAAGCCTTTTATTATTGGAATTTATCACGGCATGTCAAAACCTTCTTCTGTTGAAGAATTTTTAAATGATTTTGTCGATGAATATTGTATTTTACGAGATCAAGGTTTTGAATGGAATGGTAACCATTATTTTGTTAGAATTAGAGCTATCATCTGTGACTCTCCAGCTCGTTCATTTGTTAAATGCATAAAATATTGTACTGGTTATAGTGGATGTGAACGTTGTATAATAAAAGGGAACTACATCAGTGATAAAGTAGTATTTATAGATTACAATTGTGAACGTAGAACTGATCACAGTTTTCAAAATAAATTTGATCCTAACCATCATACTGGAAATCCTCCATTAGAGAGACTTGGAATTGGAATGGTCAGTGCTTTCCCACTTGATTATATGCATTTAGTTTTACTTGGAATAATGAAAAGATTGTTATTATTGTGGACAAAAGGTACCAAAGAATGTCGCATTAGCAGTCATAATTTTTCAAATACTTAACGAGCGGTTACATTTAAATCAAAAATTACCTTCAGAAATATCGAGAAAACCAAGATCAAACTTAAATGAATTTCATAGGTGGAAAGCTATGGAATTTCGTTTTTTTCTATTGTATTTCGCTCCATTCATTTTATATGATGTTTTACCAAATAATTATATTCAACATTTTTCTGCTCTTCATTGCGCAATTAGAATTTTATGCGATCCTTTAAACTGCATACGTAATAAAGAATATGCTGCAAAATTATTGATGTGGTTTGTGCAGAATTTTAAATGTCTGTATGGTACAAAAAATTGTACATATACCGTACACAATTTAATACATCTTGCTGATGATGTAGGTACATTTCGAGCATCACTAGATGATTTCAGTTGTTTTCCGTTTGAGAATAAAATGAAGAATATAAAGAGATCCTTACGCAAACATGATAAACCATTATCACAACTTTACAAACGAATATCGGAAGAAATGTTAGTTGCAAATGTTAAAACTGTAGAAAAGAAAACGTATCCGATATTAATACATAAAAATAAAACAAAATTAGCCATTCCATTTTGTAATGATGGTTCTTATGAAGGATTACTTTTTGAAAAGATCACATTACGTACAACAGCACCAAATAATATATGTTATTTAAAAAACGGCAGTATATATAATATAAAATATATTGCAACATTAAATTCGGAAATTTTTTGCATAGGATATAAAATGATAGTTTCTGATGTACCCATTTATCCACTAGAATCTAGTAAATTAGGTGTACATTTGATAAAAAGTGAAAGTAAAATATTAAAGAGATTTACAATCAATCATATAAAAGAAAAAGGTATAAAAATAACGTTAGAAAATTCAGCATTTGTATTACCACTTTTACATTCTTCATTGTGATTTCTTTAATTATTTGTACTGAACAAACATTATATGTAATATTCTGAATTAATATTATTTTCTCTTATGGTTGAAACCATATACTCTTAATTTATCACTAAATTTTTTATTTGCTTTCCTTTTTTTTAAAGTCTGTATGTGTGTCTGTGTGTGTGCGCTTCTTATTTTGTATGTTAATATGAGAAGAAAAAGAATATTTGATAGTTATAATAAAGAGTTAATATTAGATAAAAGAATGAATTAAAAATTCATAAATTACATATGCGATTATTGACCTTTTATATATCTACATAATGCACATACATGTATGATATAATTGGATCAGAGTAGTTGTTTATTCTTCTCTCCCTCCCCCCTTTTTCTAAATGAGTTACTGTTACTTTCTTTTATTTAAATAGTAAATCTTTGAAAAGTAACTTATTACTGGTGGTAATTAATAACATTCATTAAATTTTTTAAATTATTGTATACTACTGTAACAAGATTAAATTAAACGTATGAGATATTTAGATCTTTTTATATTTGTATATTGTATATAACTATTTTATTTCGTTTTTATTACTTTATAAGTAATATAAAACTAGTAATTCAATTATTATTAATTTTTTTTAATAAATTTTTTTGCATATTATATTTACTAAATTTATATATTTTTATTTTCTATGTGTATATAAAGATAGTATAAAATAAATAAATGGTTATAGATGTTTTATGTTGTTCATGTTGACAATTGGTTTCAATCTATCCCAGAAAACTGAGTAGATAAAGAAAAAAAATTGTCTACTGGCCTACTGAAAAAAATTCCATAATTACAACATGGATAAAGAAACAAATATCATGTAAATCAGAGTGGACAAAATACGATTATGCTTGTTTGTTTGAGCCATTTGGTGAGTAATAATTTAAAAAATTTACAATTTAAACTCTTATAAAATGTAAATTTTTTAATTCTTATTTATATCTGTATATATATATATATATATATATATATATATATATTATGAATTTTATATATATATATATATATTATGAATTTTTTAGAACTATTTTTTTATTTTCTACAGAAAATTATCAGGAGTGCAAAAATTTCGAAAGCCAGTGCACAGGGTATTCTTCCCAAGACGAAGTATTATACGACAATTTAAAAAAAAATAATGAGTTGTCCCAAAAGCGATCTCGAAAAAAAATCCAAAATTCGATGAAACTGAAAATGAAGAAATCTCCTCAGAATTTGAAGGTAATGTTATATACCTGATATGTGTGTGTGTTTGTCTTTTCAATACATTTATTAAATGTTATGCTCTATATTGACATTATTATATCTTTTATATTACAATAATTTTTATATATGTTTAATTCATAGATGATAAACAAGTAAAAAAAAAACCTAAAATTATTAGTATAACAAAATTACAACCGTTGCCATCAAAATTGGATTATATTGTCATGGGTATGAGAAGTAAATTATATATAATAACAAGACTATTACATAGTACTAGCATATAATACATTAATAACTATAG